ACGTATCTTCTTACTCACTCGCTTCTCATGATCGGATACCACTGGCGTTGGTGAGCGTGATCTCGACGATTCTGAATGACCGTGACCGCGCCCTGAAATACCAGAAGAGTTACTCGATAAATTCGATGCTTTAGTTTGAAATCGGTTGATCGATATTTCACTTTCAAATTAAATCACTTTGAATTCCACTTTAAAGCTTCCTGCTCTATTATTCACTCTAACTTAATCGAACCGAAATTTCCACAAAACTTTTGTCGGATGTTTGACGAAAGGTGAACGGAATTCGTAATCGTGTTGCTTACTCTTCGGTGAATGATGAGATGGTGATCGAGATACTGACTGATCTCCTGAGGAAATTTTTGAAGTGAGTTCCGATCGTGGAACTCTCCCTCGCACCGAGTCGTTTGCACTCGACGCTGACGACGGACCGACCTTCGTTGCTTGGGGAGAAGCGGCTGGTTTAGGCGTGACTGATGCCTGCAGAGTTGGTGGAGGAGACTGAGAGGAATAATGAGGTCCACATGAAGACGGTCCTCGATCCAAATGAACGCCCATGTCTACTGCAAGAAATTATCGGATTCGCACACATAGATGTTGATGTTTTATTACGAATATACACAAACGAAATACGCTAAGAGTTCATGGATTGGTTGAATGCTGATAATTTCGCTTGTAAAGATCATCAGTTTTGAGCGTTCAATAACTATCGTTCAATAACTTTCGAAAACGAATTATCATGTTTCCATGAGGAATTTGAAGGTTTCATCCACGCGAGACCAAACTTGTGAAAGAGATTCATTCTACTGCTTCCAAATATGAACAAGAGTGGAACAGGCCAACGGTATCAATTGACAACTCACTTGACTCCTTTTTCATCGCTGTTGTTGGCGGGGAATTTTGCGCCACCATCGCTGATGATGACGGTGAAGATAGTGTGGGAGAGACGATGGTTCCACAATCAGCTCCATCATGATACTCTACGATTCCGTTGGTGCTCACTGACGGGGGTCCGGAAGTGTTCGACATTGGCTGCTGAGCTTTAAATGGGGACGTTTTCGATTGTGCTAGTAAGATAGCTGTTGAGGTACTGGACGGTAAAGGTGCGGAAGTTGCATTATTACTTGCATTATTCACACTTTTAGATGTAGCAACACCACTATTCGACGCTACAATTGATGTGGAACTTGTTATTTTACCGTTGCTGTTCGTGTGGTGAATGGAACCTGTCTCTGAGAGACTACTCAACACATCGGCTGCATGCGACGTTGAGAAGGTGGTTGACGTTGAAGGCAGTGAAACGGCTGATTGAGAGGGGGGACGACGCATTGCTGTTGTGGTTGCTGTTGTGATAACGTTCGATTTCAGATGCTGCTGCTGAGAATAGGGAGTGGATGCAATCGGAGATGGCGACTGGTGTTGTTGCTGCTGTTGATGCAACTGTTGCTGAGCTTGAACTTGTTGACTGACGAGAATTCTGGAATGAAAACCGGATGGCATGGCTTGGCCAGTGGGCATTGTAACACTACCCACAGAACTGGCGCTGCTGCCCAATACATGTGGGGATGCATTGGAATGTGGAGTTGCAGCAGCGGCAGCAGTATTTGACGACTGCGCCATTGAGGTCTGCCCAATGAACGTATGTTGGGGCTGTTGTGTTTTTGGTGGACTTGGCACTGAACTATCGCATTCCATTCGTTTCACGTTGTCGACATTGCCCGACGAAGCTGGCGAAGTGGTCGAATTTGCGGAACACGCATTACTGCTTACATTGTTACTGCTCGCATTGTTTTGAAAACTACTGTTGATCAGATTAGCGTCCGTATTTGGTGTTGCCGTAACATTACACGGGGCAATAGCTGTAGCGGCGGCGGCCGCCGCCGCAACACCGCTCGACGGCATAGCCGA